CCCAAAGTTTGAATAAATTATCCAAGATTGCATTATTTGCATAATAATGTCTTGTCATTGACCAATCAGAATACATAGAAGACCGGCCGGTGCCAGGGCCTTTTCCCGCCTTCCCAATGACAAAAAGGGAAAAGCCCTGGGAACGATGTTGCTATAAAACGGCTAAAAACAGCGTTTTCGAGTGCAAATGGTGGGGGGGGGGTTGTCGGAAATTTGAAAGTTTTGTCGGAAATTTAGAAGGCTTCCCCCCCCCCCCCAGGAAAAAGTGAATTTCCGCCACTGGCTTTCGTCAAAACACTAGTTTTTGAAATACATTTAGAATCTGGAGCTTTTGTTTATAGCATTTTTGCGGCAATCGGCAATTTTGCTCAAGAATACCTCCTGCCCGCAAGTTTGCTGTTTTACTCTTGCAGTTTTATAGCGTTATTTTCTTACTATTTAAGTGTTCAAAATATTGTATGCGATCGAGTCAGGAGTCGACTTTGACCTAGTCGTTTGTCACTCAAAAAAGTTGGATTTTTGCTTCATCTAAATCAGAATAAAATACAGAGTTTAGACGAGGGAAATCCGCTCTCAGATTTGTGTTCTCGTGAACTTATTTGGTAAAATTACATTATTGTCATATAATAGATACCTTTAAGATCTTTCCTGATGACCTTTATGGTGTCACCTGTCTCCAAATTAGACTCTTGCATCTTATCGAATACAATTTCACATTTTTCATCATCAACAAGAATAATAACGGATGTTTCCTTTTTCCTGTAAGCTTTCTCGATTTTGGCGTTTGTTTGCTTATCGTACTCCTCATAATCACCACTTGTTGAATCTACGTAGAACCACTGTACCCCTTGAGAAACAATCTCGGCCCAATCAGCATGCAATTCCGCCTTCTCCTTTTCCTTTTCTGCCTCGCCAATTCCTCTCAAAAGTTTGTTGATTTCGCCAGACGTTTTGAAAATGTCATCACTGTGTCCAACTACAACAATACGGTTAAGTTCTTTCTGAATGGTAACTTTGATATCGTTGATTTCACACAAGTGTTTAATTTCATTTATTTGTTTCTCTGATAGTTTTCCAATATTATCATCGTCTATCTTCTCCCTCTTATTCTGAGATTCCATAATATTTAAAATTCTGTCCTTCACGCGATTAACTGTGCCCAAATCTTTTGCATAAATTTCCAAGAATAGTTTCTTCTTTATTACTGGTGGCTTTTCCTTCACACTTATTGTTGTTGAGTCGGATTTCCAGAAAAAGTTCACAAATCTCTTCAACATTCCCGGTTCTTCGTCTTCATTAAGCCTTTTAGCCGATGCTTGAAATGCTGTGACTAGGTCGTCATCTTTCAGTACAATACGGATGGTCTTGAGTGGTCCAGAACTTGATTCAAGAAAGCGTACGACGGACGTAAGAATTGCTGTGGCGGCTTTTTCAGGGTCATGCTTCAAGGAGCCTGTCCCGACAGCGGGAAATGAAATACTTTCACATTCGTTTTCGCTAACTGCTTTAAGACAATTGCTTATGCACTTTTCAACTTCGTTGGAGCTAGGATCGTTAGAGGCGATCATATGAGCAACATACTTGGCACCCAATTTTCCCGCGGTTGTTAGGACTGTTGTTGTAATTTGTAGCTTAGTAGATTCAACTTTATCTTGGCAGTCACGTTCTATATCTTCTCCTCCGGCCCTGGTCAAAGCCATAGCCACACCGCCTCTCAAACTCATACCTGGATTGGTCAAGTGGGCAATTACATCGGTTGTTTCTTTCGTTATGTCCCCTTTCAAGATCTCGAATTCTTTATCCTCACCAACTTGAACACACATGACACTATTATTAGCTTCGTCAAGGCCACTTTTTGAGATCGGGGGCGAATCGTTTTTGGTGCCTGTTGACTTCAAATTGAAATTTCGTTTCGTTCTTCGTTTTTTTGTTGGCGACACAACTGGAACAGTCGCAGCAAGTCCACTGCTGTCCCACTCTGCCTGTTTCTTTAATTCATTCTTAAATGCATCAATTGATTTGGCATCTTGATTGTAGACGACAAAACTAACTTCTTTTATTGTGCAGTTTGTAATTCTCTTCTCAAATTCTTTGGTTTCTTCAAAAAATATTTTTGCAGCAACGTCATGCGGAAAACTCAATATTCCTGTTCCAATAGCTGGGAAAGCGATGGATTTCTTTCCATACGAGTTGCACTTATTTAAGCAATTTTTAATAATGGAGCGCAGTACCTATAAAAATATATTGAAAAACTTATAAGTCACATGATCAATCAATATTGTAGGTATATAAGTCTATTTTATTCTCTTTGTTCCTTTTCACGTTCTGATGGTAACTGGATAACAAGGGGAGTTTCGTTCTCGAATTGATCAGCGCATTTGTTGACAATTTTGCTCTAAGCCATGCAGAATGCGTAATTTGTTACTGTTGGTAGTTTCCCTGTGAGCACAGAAAGCCCACATCCAGTAAAAACATACATTTGAACAGAAAATTTAGGGTCTTAAATTAAACTTCGATGTGGTCAGGATTTTTAATTTTTCATTGGATTCAACGTGAGAAGGTAAAATAAGAAATGTCCTAAAAATATGCTTATGGCATAATGGCATTTGCGTTTTATTGCCTGGTTCTAAACTTATCGGCATTCGAACTTTCGCGCTTTTTGTACACCGCTGTTCGAATGGCGATAACTTTAAAACTATAGGCACTAAAACGCAAATCTAAGAGACAATTTTTAGAATATGTATTATTTACCGTGTCACGTCAAATCCAATAAAAAATTAAAAATACTGACCCCCTCAAACTTTTATTTAAGACTCTAAATTTTCTGTTCAAATGTATGTTTTTTATCTGAAGTAGAAACCAGCAAATCTTTGTTTTTACAGGAAGTATTCGAAATGCATTGCTTGGTCGAGAACGAAATTCTTCCTTGTTTAACTGGATATGAACGAAAATTAATGACTTGAACAGGGCAAAGCAAGATTTTCGTTACCATATTAAAGGACCCAGAATATCAATAATTTAGACATTCCGTCTCGCGTTCTATTGTGGTTTATATAAAAAGAAACATTTTAGAGGTACGTGGATAATTTCTCATTACATGGTATAATTTTGTGCATTTGTAATCAAACGAACGACTGGAAAATCATAAAGGTTAAATTAAGAACTAATCGGCAATAGGCGCATCTAATTTCCCAAAATTGGGGGTGGATGGGGCGGAGCACCTGCATATAACTCAACCTTCGCATTCAGGATTCAATTTCTATTAAATCTTGGTATCCAATATTAAATTTTCTGACCAATTTAAGATTCAACAATTCAGTTGTTGTCCTGGATAAGACAAGGATTAGGACTATACTGGTGTACTGGTAAACTAGTAAGACTTCATGCAGCCGTGGACTAATATCAAAATATAGTTGTGAAGTGTATATCAATGGTGGCGCAACGGAGAGGGCTAGGGGGGCCTATAACCTTTCCCCCCCAAAAAAAAAACAAAATATAGATAACATTCCAAATTTTGAAGTTTATATAAAAAAAATTGAGAAATGAAAAATGTTGAGAAAAATTTAAAAATTTAATATGTTAACAATTTATGGAAATTATCTACCCCCCACCCTCCCCCCCAAAAATAGAAACTGTTCCGCCCCCAATGCGGTATATACTATACTGCATTTGTGAACTAGCTATCTAAGGTATATTTCTGTTCTATGAGAATGGTATTTAATTATTTTGCAGATAGAAATTTCAAGTGAAAACGGTATGCATATAACAGGCAAGATATACAACAAACGTGTATATTCTATCGAGCGGGATGCCAATCCAGAATATTGGCCTGTTAGAATGGTCTATTATATAATAACTACAGTGAAACACGCAATTTGATTGGTCAACAGCCGTGCAGGATCAGACAATCCTGCACGGGAAATTCTGAACAGAAATTCT